ACTGCTGCGGAGGNGGCCCCGAAGTGTAATGTGTCGGTGCCGGTGGAGGTGTCGTGTCAGCGGACTGGAGAGAATTTAAGGTTTCGGGTGCGTGGGAATGCGACGTGGGTGGCTTGTGCGTTGGACGATGAGGATCGCACTGCGTTGAGCAACACAAGTGGCGCTCTCGCTGCGTGGAAGAAGGCGGGGCATACCGTCGCCGGTGCTGAGGTGAACTTCTGTGACGCGGGCGGGGACCTCACGGAGAACATTTGCATCGCAGCCGAGTTTCTCTACGTTTTCCATCAGTGCGGTGCCCGCTGTGCAAAACACTCGGCAACGGACACTGTGGCGTTCACGATGAACATTATGGACCGTGAGGAGGGTGGGCTGCATAAATGGCAGGGGACGCAGGCTGGTGGAGCCACGCCGCAAAGTCCGGGGAGCCGCGTTGGCGGCGCGGGCGAGGCGGGCGTCTGTCCGTTAACAGCAGCCCCTGAAGCGGTCAAAGAGGAGGAAGCGGATGCGCTTAAGGGCACTGCGGGGCGCGATGCTTCGCCACAGCCCCAAACCGACGGGCAGCCGCAGGGCGGGGCGGCTGCTCAAGCTGCGACCACCACCAACTCGACGAGTGCAGCGAAGGCGGCGCCCGGCGACAGTGACGGCAGCAGCACCGCGGCCTCGGACTCCGCTTCCCTCTTTGCGGTGCTTCTTCTGCTTGCGTATGCGGCTGCCGCTGCGGTGGTGGCCGCGTGAGAGACAGGGCGAGAGGGCCGTGCACACATCTCTTCCTTCTTCCTCTATTTGCGTGTCCCCCTGCACGGACTCTCTCGCCCTCGCCGCACCTCACGAGGCACACACACACACACACAGTGTGTGCTCGTATATATACACATCTCCACTCATGCAGGCCCGTTGGTTTTCTTTTGCACCCGACGAGCCGCTGCCGTCCTGCTTGGCTGCATGGGTACAGCACCGTAACTGTTTTTGTCCTTTTTATTGTTTGTTTGTTTGTTCCCATTGCTTTCAGTGGGCGGACTCTTTCTCTTCCTCTCTATTCCTGGATTGGGCTGTGCGGGAATAGAGAGAGAGATGGAGTGTGTGATGGTCGTCCCACGTGTTGCTGCGCTTCCCCACTGCTCGGTGGACGCGCCCCCACGCTTCGGCTTCACTTCACTGGGTTTGTTTTTGTTCGTTTCTCTGCTTGTGTTTGTGTTGGTTTGTGCGTTTGACCGCACCCATTCCGCGGGAAGCTGAAGTGTGATGTGTATGCGTGTGCCCCGCACCGTGTGGGCGCCCCCTCCCTCTCTCTCTCTCTCTGTTGCTGAATGTGGCTGCGTGGGGTCGTGTGTCTGTGTGCCTATCTTTTTGCTTCACTTTCCCTTGCATTCTCCTTTTTTGCTGGTGGTGGGTGTGCGGCCGCAGCGCAAGACAACAACGCCTACAACAAAGTAAAGACACTGAAGAAACAATGACTGAAAGGAGCGGAGAAGAAACTCACGC